AGGCACTAGTTTAGGTGACTAGTATACCTCAGACCAAGGTCCTTGCCCTTGTGGAACTGATGTACATTCTTGCAGTAGACACAGACAACAAAAAATAACATAAAAATAAGTAAAGTAGATAGGTAGCACTATGGAGAAAAGGAAAACAAGGGTGAGGGGAGCAGAGGGCAGTAGTCTGGGAAGGTTCATAAAGAAAGTGAGAAATGAGCCCAGGTTTGAAGGAGGGAAGAGAATTAGCCAAGAGAAACTGCTACTTGTAAGACACATCACTTGGGCCGAGCAACTTAAAATCTCTGGGTCTCAATCTTCTCATTTGTACTGCGGAAGATTGATGTAGATGATGTCAACTCAAGTAAGTTCTTAAGTGTTGTGAAGTATGATTTAGCTTATGCCAACATTACAAAATGAAAGCACTCATGCAGTTAATGTTCATTAAGTTCACACAGTGGGTTGTGTGCTGTTAAATGCCATGGATGCCACAAGAATTTAAGAAATGTGCATTATGATTGTACTAATTTGAAAGAATCTCGTTAGGCTCTTCATTTGGCCATTCATTTATTCAACAAACCTATACCAAGCATACTCTGTGTCAGGTAGAGTCCCTGGATGGTGCAAATAGTTAATGCACTTGGCTGCAGACTAAAAAGTTGAGGTTCGAGTCCACCCAGAGGTGCCTCGAAAGAAACGTCTGAAGGTCTGCTTCCAAAAAATCAGCCACTGAAAACCCTACAAAACACATTTCGACTCTGACACACATGGGGTCACTATGGGTCAGAATTGACTCAATAGTAACTGGTCGTCTATGTTCACATAGTAAGTATATAAACGGAAATATTACCTAAGTTTTGAAAAACTTCAGTTTCTACAAAGAAAGGAAAAGTGATCAGATCATGTTTAATCTACTGGGGAAATTTTAAATTGTGAAATTAAAGAGGATAAAGAAGGCGATTTATAAAATATTTACTTCATTACCAAAAAAAAACCCACAATGCTTTCTAGTCGATACTGACTCATAGCAGCCCTATAGGACAGAGTAGAATTGTTCCATAGGGCTTCCAAGGGACCGCTCGTGGATTCGAATTGCTGGCCTTTTGGTTGGCAGCCGTAGCTCACCACAGCTCTTAACCACTGCACCACCAATGCCATGGTTCTCTTAACAAGTGTTCTTTGAACAGCATGAGATTTTTCCATCTGTGCTTCCTTTTCTATTTACAAGTAAGTTTTCATGGTTGTGAGGAAATAAGTATAACAATAACAGCTATCATTATTGGAACATCTACAAGTGCTAAGCACTTTTCCATATATTATCGCATTTAATTACCACAAAGCTCCTTGGAATAAACATTGATTAGCCCCAATTTTATAGATGAAGTAACCAACTCAACCACACCTAACAACAACAAACAAATCAAGATATAAAGAGATCAAGTAAGTTGTCCAAGGTCAAAAGGTAGTGAGTGGCATTAGAGGAGAGACTCTTTAACTTGGCACTGAAAGACTTGTGCTTGAGCTTCAGATGCAGAAAGCACTGGCTCAATGACTTTGGTAAGGTCAAGCAGTTTTATGTTCAGTGTAACTATTTTGATCTTTAAGTTGGTTATTCTCTCAATATTCTCACAATTTCTCTGCTGTCTGCGTAAAATGTCTTTTTAAAAGGTGTACAACCATCATCTTGGAAATTCCACTGGTATGAAAGTATACGCAAAGAATTTTTGGACTTAATTCAAACATTTTAAAAATTGTGCTTATATGGGATTTGGTACTCCACGTAAAGTTCTTCCTAATCGTTTTAGTGTCAAAGAATTTAGAAGTTGTTTGGCTAGGCACTTCACGACATGAGGAATACAATTCCTTAGTTGAGTGTGTTACAGAGAAGGAATTAACAGCAGTCTCTCTTCCTGTAGAAGTGTTCAAGCAAATTATTATCTCCTACACTGAAGAAGACATCTTGGAAGAAGTGCAACCAGAATTCTCCTTAGAAGCAAGGATGGCAAGACTAAGCCTCACATACTTTGGACATGTTATCGGGAGGGATCAGTTCCTGGAGAAGGACATCATGCTTGGTAAAGTAGAAAGCCAGCAAAAAAGAGGAAGATCCTCAGGGAGATGGATTGACACAGTGGCTGCAATGATGGGCTCAAGCATAATAACAGTTGTGAGGATGGCACAGGACCAGACAGTGTTTCGTTCTGTTGAAAATAGGGTTGCTATGAGTTGGAATTGACTCGACAGCACGTAACAACAACACTGAAGACGGAACACGATATACCTGCTAATATCTCGACTGCAAGTTTTTAGCAGTCTCCATGGAAAAGTAAAGTTTTCTTTCTCAAGTTATCAAATTAATTCAATAAAATAATTAAAAGTAATGAATTAGTACACGTGCAATTTTATCTAAAGCTATGTCTTTCTCCATGGGAAGCTGGTGGAGTTCCCTTTTTCACCACCAGAAAAGATGTTCTTCACTAAAAACACTTTACACTGGGGTCGACCTTGCTATTTTCCTTCCTCATCATCTGCTTTTTTTTTCCCCCAATATTTTATTTAGCCAGATGAAATCTTTTGTGTCTATATCTCTATACAACCTCTCCCACCAAAATTATGAGGTCTTTAGAAAAATAATTAGGTAATTCTTATGCATGAAACTCAAGAATGAACTTCTGAAAATGCAGAGCATCTGTATCAAGGTAGCCAAGGAAAATCTGAGGATGATATGCACTATTCCCATGGTATTAATTAGGGCTGAGGAACTTAGAGTACAAAAATGCACATTTAATGTAAAATGGGAGCGAGAAAAGGTATTTTTATAGTAGCGTGAGTTTTAAGCCATTCTCTGTCATTGAGAGAAGCGCATGTTGCTAATCAGTACAATTCAGAAATTTGAAATTCAGATTGCTACTTAACCATCTGACTGCAAAATTCTTATAAAATCATGTAATGGTTTTGGCTCCCTTAAATTCCTTCTGGGCCATGTTTCATAAATAACTTTTTTAAATGAAAGAAAATAATTCAGTATTTCAAGTAAGTAATGAAGGTTGTCTGCTTTATTGATTATCTATTTTACTGTATAGCTTATTTGTGTAGATGACAACTGAAATTATGCTAGGTCACTTGGAGTGGTTTCTCTGAAAAGCTGAGGAATACGAAAATTCAATCTGAGTAAGATCATAAAGGAAAAGAAAACTTTTTCCCATTGGGGAAAACAAAAGTTATGAGGACAGATATTTGGGACAATTTTACAATAAATTCCCTTTATGGACATAACACCATAATCCTATGACCCAAATTGTATTTCAATATTAACTTCCACAAGCCAAATATAGGCCTTACAGTTCTATTACTTGAAAGCTCTGAGCACCTCTTCAAGGCAAGCCTGCACTTTCTAAGAATATGAATTTCCAATTAAAATGAAGTGAACTATCAAGGCACTAAAAAAAAGAGATAGTATATGCAAATAATCTGGATAATTCTGATACCTTGGGGCAGAAATTCCTTTGCACTAAATTTGAACAGAGTATATGGGAATGGGAAGACTGGTGCAACAGTTTTCCTTGCTGGAAAAACTTGAGTCTGACATATGAGCTCACCAAAAGCTATTTTTAAAATATTAGTAAAGTTTTGAAATAATGTCATACTCTGAGTACAATGTGGACTAAATAGTTTGTGCATAGTATAAGACATAACTTGGGTACCTGTCTACTAATAACTTGAAACCACAGCTAAAGTTTATTTTACAGCTTACTTAAAATTGCCATTGTTAACAATGACTAAGTATTACCAGTTTGGTGGAACTGAATTTTGTGACTGGAAGTTAAAAGGATGTTATTCTGCATTAGAAATCTCTATATGTAAATATCTTACAGTCTTTGTTTGGGAAACAGCTTTGATACCACTAGAGTCATTAAAGGAAACAGCTGAGTCAGCAGCTTGCAGAGTAAAATTTATGATTATATAATTCCTTTTCACAGTTCAACAGTGAAAAAAAATAAAGCTTTTGGAAACAATCAGAAATGAAAGAGACACATCTGAAATAGCTAGACACAGTCAAATCCAGAATTCTATTTTGATGGAATGCACACAGCAAAATACTTCCAGCCAGATTTACACAATCATTTGACCTTCACAAGTCATACTTTTCAATAGTGAATGCAGTTTTCTGAGACTACACTTTTGACCTTGGGGATATAACTTGGGGTTTTATGTCTCTTAGAAAACTTATAATGACCTGGCCCTGAAAAGGAGTTCATCCAAAATTAATATTATCACATGTTTAAATGGTTAAATTATGTAATTCTTATTTTAATTATTCAGCATACAAGGGCCAGGAGGGAAGCTCCAGCTTCTTCAGAACTCTTCTTTCTTACTGCATAAGTCTCTTAGCTATCTTAATGCAAAATGTCCCCCATCTGAAGCTGGGACTGAGGAAATAGCTGCATTGTACTGCAGCTTCAAATCCTCCTACAGCTTTCAGACTTTGGGTTCAGCTGAGCTTAAACAGAAATATGCAGGGGGCAATATACTGGTCTGTGGGAACTAAAGCTTTACTGAAGGAGATTGCAATGGGTGCTTACCAAGGCTTGTCTGACTTTCATTTTATTTACACTGTTTCTCTTAAACAATTAAACAGTCACTCTGATGGAATGACTTACATCTTAAGTTTTACTTCTTATTTCTCCTCTCTTCCAAAATGCATTTAAATGAACTTTATGTGGTCTATTATACTTGGAAGGTATGTACTGCACTAAAACGCCTTGAACAATCACATCAATTTACTGCAGTTGGATATTCTTAAGCCATTCAACTTTAATTATCCCCAGTTCTGAAGTCTACTGTAATGCAATAGCATTCAAAAGCCTGAGGGAGCATGTTCACGAATTAGCAGAGAGGGGACGAAAAAGTCAATGCAGCAGAACTAAAATTAAGGAACACTAACCCAGCAACTCAACTCGAGGTAACTTGAAATTAATTTGACTTTCATAAGAGAGTCTATATTTTCTTACCTTGAATGTGAATAACTCTGTTATGATCCAGAGTGTAGTTGTTCGAATGATGATCAGCCCAGCACACTGAAATCAGCACCAGAAGAAGTAGCCTCTTCATCTTTGTAGCCCAAAGAATCTTCCTCCCTGTGAGAGCATCACACACAAAGAGGCTTGTGAGATTTGGAACCCTTTGGAATGTTGCACTGCACAACTTATTGCCGCCTTATCATCATATAATGGGTCTGTAAAAACGTTTAACCCAATCTGTTCAGAAAGTTACTGTAGCTATCTTTGAGAGCTGAAGACTGCAGCTTTGAATAATTCCAGTTCCCCTTACGTAGTTAGAAGTAGCCAGAAGACAAATAGTGTTTAACTCTATCTTTGCAGAATTGTAAATATAGAAATTTAAAACATTGTAGTTTGGAGATACAACATATTACAGAGATGTGGGAAGCAGTTAAGTAGACTTAAAAAAAAAAAGTTAAGCCTTCCGAATATGGAATATAAATTAATAAAACAACAATCTGATGTGTCAATAGATGAATGTTTATCACCCGGTTTAATTAGGAACTGAATCTCAAACCCAGAGCAAATAAAGAATACTGTCATGAAACTTGACATCATCATTCATTTTACATGTGGCTTCCTAAGCAGGTTAGTTTTGCTTGTTCTAAATAGAAAAGAAAAAAAAAAAAAAAAAATCCTAATGAAGCAGAAGCAGCATATTTTTTACAGATTCACTTACCATCTTAAACACTGCTTGGGTCTGTGGTGAATAGGTGAAAATTACACACAAACTAGGTTAGAGTTCTGCATGCTGTTACTGCAGTTGCCCTGACTGATTTTTCATTCATCTCTACCTAAATGCTGACGCACCAATTTGGAATGCCAGGTAGGGTCTCTGCAGTCAGCAGAGCGGCGGCTGCAGGACATTCCCTGCAGCCTCGCAAGGCAATTAGGCAAATGAAGAGCTGAAATAGACTGGGAGGCAGCTCTGATTCTGAGTGAAAGAGGCAGAGTCATCACCGACTGTCCTTTACTGCAAGACCAACTTGAAAAAAGGAGATACATTCCCCCAGAATTTGTCACTGGAAGATCTAAGATGGACCAAAAACCAACCCCAAGTGATACAAACCATATGACCTCTGCAGTATTTGCCAGGCAAGAATTTCAATGAAGCTCCTCTGTTTTAATGTGGAAGCTGAGGCACAGTTAACAAGGGCTTTCTTTTTCTCTCACGCACACAGCAGCCTTAACAATCTCGGCTATTTTTAAAACTGAAATTGCACAGTACTGGCTCCTCGCACTAATTTGTTTTTTCCAGGAAAGTCTAACTCCCAAGAATACTTATTAAAGAGTTTTCAGTCTGTTCCTGGAGGTCCTTCCAGGCGAGCCTCTACTCCAGAGCCTAACGCATGTACTCACAGAAGTTCCCCAAGTCTCAAGGGACTGGAACACCTCTCTGCATTTTCCCTATAAAAAACTGCATTGCTGTCTTTCATACTTGCTTTAATTTTTTTTTCTTCCTTCTCTATGTCATAGTAAGAAGATGGTTGGCTGATTAGCAAATTGAGAGACTTACTTTTCCAGGAAACCAAAAGTGTCACCTTCAAAATTCTACCTGATTTACTTAAATCTTATTTTCAGAAGCTTACTTGCTTACTCCTCTGAGGATATTCTTGCACTTGTTATTTTTTGTAGCCACTGATTTGCATACATAGGTTACTGTTAACAAATATTGCCTACTTTGGGCCCAGTGCTGCGCTGTGGGTGAAAAAATAAATAAATAAAAAGCGATTTCGAACATAATGGGGACAATTACATATACAAGGATGAAATGTCATAAGACAAACATGAAAAAGAAGGTGACGGGCAAAACAGCACAAGAGGCAGACATGCTCTCTGATGCCCCAGGAGCTGGAGGAAGAGAGAAGTTGTGGAAAAAGAGTATTAGGAAAGCATGCAATTTAGAATGTGAAAGAAAGAAGACATTTTAGGTAAGGGATCAAGATGAGCAAAGGCAGAGAACTTGGCGGATTAATTTGCACGTTGATGTGTTCATCTACAATATAATTTATAAACACACACATTAGGTTACAGCTGTGCATCTTACCACCATAGCCACTCTGATTTCCATTTATCTCTACCTAAAATACATTAAAAACCAAACCAGTAGTCATCGAGTCCATTCCAACTCATGGCAACCCCCACGTGTGTCAGTGTGTCAGAGTAGAACTACGCTTCATAGAGTTGTCATGGTTGTGACCTTTCAGAATCAAATTGCCAGGACTTCCTCCTGAGGTGTCTCTGGATGAACTTGAACTGCCAACCTTTCAGTTAGTGGCTGAGTGCTTAAG